GAGGTTGAGTGAGTGAGGTTGAGTGAGTGAGGTTGAGTGAGTGAGGTTGAGTGAGTGAGGTTGAGGTTGGGTGAGTGAGGTTGAGTGAGTGAGGTTGAGTGAGGTTCAGGTTGGGTGAGGTTGAGGTTGGGTGAGGTTGAGGTTGAGTGAGGTTGAGTGAGTGGGGTTGAGTGAGTGGTTGGGTGAGTGAATGGGGTTGAGCGAGTGAGTGAGTGAGGTTGAGTGAGTGAGTGAGTGAGTGGGTGAGTGAGTGCGTCAGTGAGTGAGTGAGTGAGTGAATGAGGTTGGGTGGGTGGGTGGGTGAGTGCGGTTGGGTTTGAGTGAGTGCATGGGGTTGAGTGAGGTTGAGGTTGAGTGAGGTTGAGTGGGTGAGTGAATTGAGTGAGGTTGAGGTTGGGTGAGGCTGAGGTTGGGTGGGGTTGAGGTTTAGGGTTCATGGATCACCAGATGTGGATCACAAGATACGGATCACCAGATAATCAGATATGGATCAGCAGATGTGGTTCACCAGACATGGATCACCAGATGTGGATCACCAGATATGGTTCCCAGATATGGATCACCAGAAATGGATCACCAGATATGGACCACCAGATCTGGATAACCAAATATTTTTCACCAGATATGGATCACCAGATGTGGATCACGAGATATGGACCACCAGATGTTGATCACAAGCTATGGATGACGAGATAGCAATCACCAGATATGGACCACCAGATATGGATCACCAGGTATGGGTCACCAGATATGGACCACCAGATACGGATCACTAGATGTGGACCACCAGATATGGATAACCAGATATGGATCACCAGATATGGATCACCAGATATGGATCACCAGATGTGGATCACAAGATATGGATCACCAGGTATGGGTCAGCAGGTATGAACCAGCAGTTATGGATCACCACATATGGACCACCAGATATGGATCACCAGATGTGGATCACAAGATATGGGCCACCAGATATGGATCACCAGATGCGGTTCACCAGATATGGATTACCAGAGATGGACCGCCAGATATGGATCCCAGATATGGATCACCAGATGTGGACCACCAGATACGGAAAACCAGATATGGATCACTAGATATGGATCCCCAGATATGGATCACGAGATGTGGATCACCAGATATGGATCACCAGATATGGATCACCAGATGTGGACCACCAGATATGGATAACCAGATATGGATCACCAGATGTGATTCACCAGGTATGGATCACCACATATAGATTACCAGATATGGATCACCAGATCAGGATCACCAAATGTGGATCACAAGGTATGGATGACGAGATAGCAACCACCAGATATGGACCACCAGATATGGATATCACCAGATATGGGTAACAGCATATATGGATCACCAGGTATGGGTCACCAGATATGGACCACCAGATATGGATCACCAGATGTGGATCACCAAATATGGATCACCAGATATGGATCACCAGATGTGGATCACCAGATATGGATCACCAAATATGGACCACCAGATATGGATCACCAGATGTGATTCACCAGGTATGGATCACCACATACAGATTACCAGATATGGACCACCAGATCAGGATCACCAAATGTGGATCACCAGGTATATGGATCACCAGATGTGGATCACCAGATTTGGATCAGCAGGTATGGATCACCAGCTATGGGTCACCACATATGGACCAGCAGATATGGATCACCAGATGTGCATCACAAGATGTGGATCACAAGCTATGGACCACCAGATGTGGATCACCAGATATGGATCACCAGATGTGGATCACCAGATATGGATCACCAGATGTGGATCAGCAGATATGGATCACCAG